ATCCATCCATCCATCCATCCATCCATCCATCCATCCATCCATCCATCCATCCATCACCCACCTGTGTATCTACCCACCCAGGACCCTGCAGGGCACCCTGGGTGGCGCAGGCCGTAGGGAGAGGACTTGGCTCTGCCTCCCTTGGCAGCCCAGCTTCCTTTCCCAGAAGCGACTTGGTCATCCATCCCTCAGTCCCTCAGCTCCCAGGAGGCAAGATTGGATCACTAGAAGGCTTGTGGACTTGGGGGCATTTGCCCCAAGCATGTGGGGTTGGGGTGAGCAGGAGGGAGGCAGCATGGGGGATCTGAGCCGCTGGCTCACACCTAGGGTGCTCTGACAGTGTCTCTGTCTCAGGGCGACTCGGGGGGGCCCCTGGCCTGCGAAAAAAATGGCGTGGCCTATCTTTATGGCATCATCAGTTGGGGTGACGGCTGTGGACGCGTCAACAAGCCGGGGGTCTACACCCGTGTCGCCAATTACGTGGACTGGATCAACGACCGCATGCGCCCCACTAAGCGGCCTGCAACCTCCTTTTGAGGCCCCTGGTGGGGGTCGGATGGGAGGCCTCCTCACCCTGTTTTGCGAGCAATAAAGAAATCTCTAGCACCAGCTTGGCTCACTGCTGCCCCCATTTGGCCCCTTCACCTCAGTCCTCCCAGGCCTGTCCCTCTCCCTCTCATCCCTGACCAGCAGGTGGGTGAGGGGAGGGTGTTTATTTGGGCTCTGATTGAGCCCTGCCCTCTGTCCCAGCTCTCCTGGAAGCCCCGGGGCCCCTGCTGCCTCCTGCCGGGCTGTTCCTTCCTGCATCCAGTAGCTGACCAGAGGATGCTGTCTTGCAGCCCCGTCCAGCCCTGCCCTGCCCTTTGCGAGCCGGGTGCTTTCAGAAGCCGAGCCGCACAGCTTCAGCCAACAGAGGGGTCTCCCCTACACCCAGGACGCATTTCTGCTAGCGTCCACTCCTGTTAGCTAAAGGGAGCGGCCTGTTGGCAGACGGCTCTGAGTTGGCATGCTTAACTGCCAGTCAGCAGCACAACACCACCAGCTGCTCCGAGGGCAAAAGACAAGGCTTTCTGCTCCCAAACAGTCACAGCCTCAGAAGCCTGCAGGGGCTCCTGCTCTGTCCTTAGGGGCTGGGGGTCAGCATGGGCTCCATGACAGGGAGTTTGGCTTGATCCAGAGGCCACACGTGGTCGAGTAGCCTCTTCTCTGGCAGGTGTCCACCTTGCTCTCACTTGCTGTGTCCAGCTGCAAAGGAGGCTGGGAGGGTAGGAAACAGGATGGGGTGTGTGTGTGTGTGCTGCCAGGGACTGGAAGCCTTGTTGCTCTTATAGGGGCTGCGTTCGTCTGGGTACTTTAGAGAAACAAACCTACAGAAACTCATGTATAAGAGAGAGTTTTATATAAAAGTTAAGTGAGCATCAAGAAAAACATCCCAACCCAGTGCTGCCCAAGCCCGCAAGTTCAACATTAACCCATATGTCCAACACCAATCCACAAAGTCCTCCTCCATCTCACAAAACACACACAATGACGCCGACTGCAGGAGGAAAGCTGAGTCAGTGAATCTGTAAGCATCTCAGCACTGGCAGGGGTCTCCACACAGCTGCTCCAGCACCCAGGGCTGCATCGGGGTAGGTCCATGTGGCTTCTCCTCAGGGACATCTTGCAGGAAGTGAACTTTGCCAGCTGAAGCAGGGAACTGGCTAAGGCAGCTGCACCCTGGTTCGTACATCACAAAGCAAGAGACCCAAGGACTGGAAAGGCGAGGCTCACCGAGCCTTTTATCCCTCTGCCCTTCAATTAACCCCACATATGTTAATCGGCCAGGTTGGCACAATAAACTAACTACCTCAGGGGCCATTGAGTCGGTTCTGACCCACAGCGACCCCGTGCACAGCAGAAGGAAGCACCGCCGGTCCTGCACCACCCTCACAATGGCTCCTGCGCCCGAGCCCATGGCTGCAGCCGCCGTGTCCGTCCGTCTCATTCTGGGCCTTCCTCTTGTTCACCGCCCCTCCACTTGACCAAGCACGATGTCCTTCCCCAGGGACTGGTCTCTCCTGCCCACACGTCCACAGTCCGTGAGACCAAGAGCCTGGCCATCCGTGCCTCTAAGGAGCACTCTTGTCTATGTTTAAAAACCACCAACAACCACCACCACCCACCAGCTGTACGGACCTGCGCGTCCCCTCTGGCCATTCAGTGGTCCCACCAGAGCCAGGAGAGTTGTGCAGTCATCACCACCGTCAACTTCAGAGCACTTTCTCCCTTCTAATAACTCATCGTTATTAGCCCCTGCTTCCCCATCTCCCTGCCACCACCCCACCTGCCCGAGAAACTCTATCCCAGTGACTCGGTTTACCTGGATTGCCTGTACAGAAAACATTAAAAACAGCCGAGCAACGAGAACGAAGGGAAGCGAGCAGCAGACATGAAACCCAGAGCAGAGTAAAGAAAGGGAGATCTAATGGCACGGTGCCAAATGTTCAACCGCACCGCCGGTGTCCACCTTCCAGGGCATTCTGCATGCCGTTCTTGCCGAGGTCAAGAGACTGGGCGATCGATCCACAAGCTCTCCGGAGCTTCCCAGTGTGAGGCCCATTGGCACGAGGAAGATGTAAGAGATGTGCAAGCCCTCCTCTGTCTGCTCACCTGAATTTTGTGGCTACAGGAGCCTGGGGGGTGGGGAGGGTGGGGCTAGAGAAAGAATGGGTACAAATGACTCCGGACAGAGGGCTCTTTCTACAAAGGAAAGCGCGAGTCCTGGTCCTTTGTACCTAAAATCAACCTGGAACATGGATGCCTGAGGTAAATGAAGCCCCTGCTCCTCCGTCTGTCCGTCCCCGGGGCTTGGTGGCCTAGGTGTCGCCGTGAGGCTGGACGCAATGGCACTGGGGTTTCAGGGGCCAGCAGAGCTTCCAGGCGGAGAACAGAGCACTAAGAAGGAGCTGGCTGTCCACTGCAGAGGGAAACGTACGGGCAGCACGGGCCCATGGTCAGAGGCTGCAGACCTCATAGGGGCAGCAGGGCGTGGTCAGAGGCGCTCGGACCAGACTGAGGAGGAGCTGCGCCCCCTCGCAGAGGTGACCTCAGCGACTCGGATGGAGGGAAGCCGGCAGGACCTTCGGCCGCAGAAGAAACGGGCCAGCGCCGACGATGGGCTCAAACGTAAGAACGATGGTGAGGCCGGCGTGGGAATGGACGATGTGTTGCTCTGTCGTGCACCGGGTCGCCGGGAGTCTGAGCCAACTCCACGACACCTGGCGGCTATGAAGCAGTTAGCAGGACGTAGAGGACACCCTCATGACCTTGAAGTCCGGAAGGATAGCTCAAGCAGAAAGCCTCATCTTTCTCCCGAGTAGTTGGTGGGTGGGTTTGAACAGCCAACCTGGCAGGTACAGTGAGCTCAGTCCCTGACCTCCACTCCCAGCAGGGCTGCCTGCACACTTAATAGGCTTCCCCAAAGCCACGCCCACTGCCACTGAGTCAACTCCGAGGCACAGTGACCCGATAGGACAGTGGTTCTCAACCTTCTTCATGCCACGACCCTTTAGTACATACAGTTCCTCCTGTGGTGTGACCCCCAACCATGAAATTATTTTTGTTGCTACTTCATCACTGTCAGTTTGCTACTGTTATGAAGGAAGCAGGCAACCCCTATGAAAGGGTCGTTCGAACCCCAAAGGGGTCGAGACCCACAGGTTGAGCACCACTGCTATAGGAGGTTCCCAGGGCTGGAACAGCCTCCTCTTCTCCGAGGCAGTGACTGGAGGGTTTGAACGGATGTCTCTGGGGTTTGCAGGCCAACACTTACTTACAAGAGCCACCAGGGCTCCTAATAGACTGCAGTCAGGTGTAAACAGGAACTTTCTATGGACTGGGGAAACAAACAAAATCATACAAATTGCTCGATTGGTGTGGCGATCTGAAACATGCCTGCCTGTGTCCATATGTCGCATCATTCCATGGTTGGGCCGGATTGAGCAGTGTTGTACCATTGCTACCACAGTCCATTTCAAACCTTTTCTCTCTTCTCGAACTCCTGGGGACTTCTCTCCAAGAAACTCGGGCAGCTGTAGAATGCTGGTGGGAAGGCGCCTTCCCCAACTCCGCTCCGCCAGGCCTCCCGCCGAGGCGTCTCGAGTCCTACAGCTACAGGGACTGAGGGACCCAAGGTCCGCTGGTCCGATGGCAGGCTGCTGGCTCCCAGGCTGCAGGCCTGGCGACTCCCAAGAGGCAGAGGTCAGACATGTGATGACGGGCCGGGTGTGCGGTCCAGGGCAAGCCAGAGGCTTGGTGGACCGTTCACCATGTACATTTCAACTGATTGGCTACTCGGGACAGATCCCCTCTGACTCGTGCCGAGCTGTGCACGACAGAACCCAACCTGCCCGGGCCTGTGCCACTCTCACGAGTATCCTGTGCCTGCCCATTGTGGGAGCCACCATGTCCATCGCCCCATCCAGGGCCTTCCTCTTGTTCGCTGCCCCTCCACCACCAAGCATGATCTCCGTCCAATCCAGGGACTGGTCTTTCCTGACCACGTGTCCAAGGTAGGTGAGAGATGATCAAATCGCAAAATGAAATGGAATGTGCCCACACGTTACATCTCGACTGTCTGACCACTGAGAATCCTGGCCCGGGAGCTGGCTTTGACTCCGTAGGCCATGGCTTGGACTGGACACTTGCCACTGGAGGGTGGCAAACCCCGGGTTCTGGTACCAAGAGAAGAAGAAGGAGACAGCAGCAGGGTGTGCTCAAATGCTGCAGGTTGGATCCGGCATCCTGAGCCCCAGGTTGATGCCAGCACAGGGGCAGTGACTGTGGCTGGAGACTGGTGCCAACGTGTTGGGAGCCTGGGACATTGGAGGACTGTGTGGGCTCGGTCAGTCCCTCCCTCACCCACAGCGCACGTGCCTGGAGGGGCCCGGGTTCAGTCACAGTGGGAGCAGGTGCCTGCTGGGCCCGCCCTGGCTCCTTTCTCGTGCGCCCACCTTCACCCCTATCCCAGAAGGCCGCTGTGTGTGTGATGTGTCCATGGACATCCCTTTGGGTTTGAGTTGAACTTGGCTGGTTTGGTTCTGCCCCAGCAGATCAGAAGGAGGGAGGAACGTGAATTTGAGGAATCTATTGTATGTTAAAGTTTTTGTTTCATTTTTCCCTATTGGGTCACTCTTACCCCATTTTTCATTTTATCTTAAGCCTTTTTTTTTTCCTTTTCCAACACCGTTTTTAAGGCGCTAATCCAGACATCATATCATTCCGTGGTTCAATCACATCGAGCCGTGTTGTACAACTGCCACCACAATTAGCTTTCTTCCTTCTTGAACTCCTTGCTATCTGCTTCCCCTTCCCTTCCCCCACGGTATTGTCCCCCCCCCCCCAACCCTTATTCTAGTTGCTCATCACAGAAAAACAGACAAGCACAGAGCAAAGATTTAAGAAGGTCACCCACAATGACAAAATGCATCAGCGATAAGCCCAATATGAGATAGAAACACACAGAAAATACTGAAAACCAGACCAAGCCCAGCGTGGGGACATCACACGACAGGTCCTCACCGTTCGGGGCAGGTTATCATTTGGACCTCCTGTCGTCATCTGTCCAGTGCACTGTTCGGTGTCCGCTCTCTTCCCTCCTCCATTATGGATCGAGGGGCGTCACCGGTGGCTTATTTCCAGTGTGGATCTCACAGATGGATCTTGGGCTTCCATGTCCTCCACAGCCTGCAAACCAGAATCTCACAGTCTAGGCTCTGACACTAGTCCCTCCTTCGGCTTCGGATCGTCTGACTTACAATCCTTCGGTCACAGATGCTGGTGGACTTCTTCCCTTAACTGAGTTGACATCTCACTTAGATGGCTGCGGGGTTGGAGACAAGCCTTTAAGACCACAGATGCTATTCTGTCTGATAGCCGGGAGGGATTTATTTCTAGCTCTCTCTCTCTGGGGTTACCTCAGGTCGATGCTTTCCTTCACTGAAGACCAGGAATGCTCTCAACATGGTCCGTTATGAGCCCCAAAGAATCTCTCAGAAATAACAGAATTGTTTGAATTATGGATTTAGACTTGAATTTTGAAGTATGGTTTCAGTTTGTGAATTGTGCGTTTGAATTAGAGTGCTGGCAAAGAATATGGAAAATACCACAGGTGGTCAAAGAAACAAACAGCTCTGTCTTGGAGGAAGGACGGCCAGAGAGCTCCTTAGAAGCCAGGATGGAGAGGCTTTGTCTTAGAGACGTGGGCGCGTCAGCAGCTGAGACCGGTCCCTGCAGAAGGACGTCATGTTTGGTAAAGTGGAGGGGCGGCAAAAAAGAGGGAGGCCCTTAAGGAGATGGACGGACACCGTGGCTGCATCCATGGGCTCTGGCACAGGAACCGTGGTGAGGATGGGGCAGGACCGGGCAGTGTCTCCTTCCACGTACATGGGTCGGGGCCCACCCGATGGCCACGACCACAGCAACATTGTTTCTTCTGAAGGTGGTGTTTCCATCTCTCGGCCTCAAGCCCAGATGGCATCTTCGTCAGCCTCAGGGGACTCCAACTGGCCTCAGGGAACACAAAGCAGTCTGGGACAGGTGGGGAAGGTCCCCCAGGAGCATTCTCAGAGGATGGCAGGGCTTAGTGACTGGGCAGGCTGTTGTCCTGAGGGAAGTAGACTCCCCTGGCCCTTCTTCCCAGCACGGAAGCATTCGAGTCTTCCTAAGCAGCCTCGTGACCATCCTGTGTCCGAGGGGCAGCTGTCACAGTGACCCCTTTAGGACCCCTGGAAACAGCCACCACCACCACCCTCTGAGAGAACCTGTCTGCTTCGAAATGAACGTGCCGGCAAAGCTAAAGTCTCTCTCAACGGTCGTATTGATCGTATTGATCGCCGCGAAGTTATGTGCAGGCTTGTCCTCTTGTTCAATTCAGGTCCACCAGCCGAGTCAAGGCAACCCCACCCCCACCCCCATCCCCGCCCTTGTGCTCCGAAAACCCCTGCCCACTTTTCACCAGGCCTGGAGGCGTGGCCTCGGAGGGAGGGTGGGGCTCATCCACGTAATATCAGGCTGGATGGGGACACTGAGGCCAGAAAGGTCACGTCCTGTTGGCTGGTGAGTGGCAGGACACGGTATCCACAAATCCACGGACGCTGTTCCCTGCGGCTGCTAAGTCCTGAAAGTGGTGACGGTGCCCTGTGGTCATATGTCTAGAAGGTGATGGCCGCAGTGCCCAGGGGTGGGGGCCGTGGGGGCCCTGCTGTCCTGGGGTGGGGGCAGTGGGGGCCCTGCTGTCCAGGGGCGGGGGCAGAGGGGGCCCTGCTGTCCAGGGGTGGGGCGATATTCCATGGTCATCTGTGAAGCTGCAACAGGACTGGCAGCACCATGGTATGGGAGGTCAGTTGGTCTGACAGGTGTAACCCACAGCGTGGCCCTCTCTGGAGGTGGCAGCCTTCCCCAGGGCATGGGTAGGTGGCATCCTGTCTTGGGCTGTCCTCTGCTGCTGCACCACCTCTCCCAGGCTCGGGTAGCTCTCCCACCCCCCTGGGCCCCAGCAGAGACACCCACCCCCAACAGGTCCTTCCTGGCACCCCAAATGGCCAGGGTGAGCTGCTGTTAGTCACCATCAGGCTGTGACAGCTGGGGAAACTGAGGTGTAGAGAGGGGCACGGGCCGACCCGTGGTCAAAAGTGAGTGCCTGTCCTGTCCTGTGGGCCACATGGGGTGGGGGAGGGAGGCGTCCATCCTGCCTGCTGGGAGCCAGTGCGGGAGCAGGTGCAGCTGCCCTGCGTGCGTGGCAGGGCCTGGGCCTGGGCCAGCACTCAGGAATGCTGCCCCGCCTGGCAGGATGGCGGAGCGCCAGGCGCCGGGCTCGGAGGATGTGCTGGTGACCACGGCCCCCACAGCCATCCGACTCCCCGCCGGCTGTCCCGGCCAGCCCCTCGGGTGGGGCCCAGGGTGTGGGCAGCATGAGTGTGGCGCCAACTGCTCTTCGGAAGGCATCCGTTGGCTGGCGGCGCAGGTGACGGAGGAAGGAGGGGGTGCTGGTGACTTCCTGAGCCTACCCCGCCATGGCCCCTCAGCACTGGCCCAGCCAGACTCTGGGAAGGCATCATCACGTGCCCCGTCTGTGACCTGTCCACCCTGAGGCCCCAGGAAGACAGCGTGTGGCAGCAGCCAGTCTGGAAGCCAGGCTGCCTGGGACTCTTCTTGCCCCTGCCCCTTGTCGTACTGCCTGCCGGCTCCCTGAGCCTGACCTCACCCATGGGCTTGAAACTGCTAGGTCCCCTCTGCAGATGCTGGCGGGGTCACCCAGGAGTGTGTGCCCCTCTGGACCCAGCCCACAGCAGGGGCTTGACTGCTTCTCCCCCCTCACCCAGGTGCATGCCCCGACCCACATTAAACACACACTGGACTCTTTTTTGGGGGGCTGCCTCCACTCTTTGAGCCTGGAGCTGCTTCTATAAACATGGGTGAGGGGAGGCTGTTACATCGGGGATATGCTGTCCAAGAGGCAGGGCTGCCAGCATGCCAGCCCTTGGGGGCAGGTGAAGCAGGGCCACAGAGAGGAGGAGCCCACAGATGGTTACCTTCAGCAGCAGGGCCAGCGCTGGGCCAGGGGATGGCGTGCATGGAGACAGGAGCCCTGGTGGTCCGGCAGCCACCTGCATGGGGGGTGGGGGGTCCCAGAGCAGCCCAGGCTTCATGAGGACAGGACTGGGAGTCAGCCAGAGGGCAGCACCCATGGGTGCACGGGCACCCGTGCCGGCCATGCACTATGTCCACTTGG